TATCACGACGTTTCGACTGCAACATAAGCAATCATCATCAGGTGTGAAAACCACAGCAAGAAAATTTAAGTGGCGTTTTTTTCTCTTAACGTTAGTACCTTGGACAGCGATTATTTTTTACTTTTTTATTTTCTTTCTACGTGACTTTACCGAAAGAACCAAGAATATGAATTCCTGCATTCACAAAAGTTTTAAGTCGAAATTGCTCTACTTTTAAACCTTTTATTTGGAACCACTTAAATTAATTAATTTATTAATCAAACTAGTCAAGGAAATATGATGAAAACGATTGTATTAATTATGCGCCCATTAATGTAATAATATTGCATACATAGTTGAACTAGTCAGTTTCAACGAAACTTTAACGTAATTTTTCGTGAATATGCATCACAATAAAGGATGAGAATAGGTTTTCCCCTTTTTTCTGGAAACAAAACATGTGTTAAGATGTTTAAACACCAAACTGAACCCTTTTACAAGGAATCATGTCTGTATTAACCAGAATACTTGTGGTCAGAATGCAAACAAAACACATACTCTGATAATATATGCATTGTCTTTGAAACTGATTGGTCCACACCAGAGACAGCTTTCTTTGAGCCTAGTCTCAAAATGGTGTTAGACCAGAGGACGCCAAAAGGCGTACAAAATAAAAGGATGATTAAATATTTTTCATATTTATGAAAATGCATAACCTTAGTACAAGGACATGGTCATTTAAGAAGTTTTTGTATAGTTTAATCACGTTAAAATTAAGTACTACAACAGAAAACAATGGTCAGCCAGGCAGTGGTAGTACACGCCTGTAATCCTGCACTGTAGCGACGTGGGTTGGTGGATCGGACAAATGTGAAACTCCCTTTCCTTGGGCGTCGGTATAATACCCTGCCTTGCCAGGAGAACTCCATATTTCCTCCATAAGGTTTTCTGGGTTAGATCACATAAATATAAATGTGTCGTTAAACCCGCCACCACCCGACACAGCCACAGCCAATTGGTTACTCAGGTGTGAAAACCACAGCAAGAAAATTTGCTGTGGTTTTCACACCTGATGATAATTGCTTGTGTTGCAGTCGAAACGTCGTGAGAATTTTATTGTTTTATATTTTTATTATTTTATTGTTTCCCTTCTACGTGACTTTACCGAAAGAACCAAGAATAAGGCAGAGCCAATTAAGATGGGGCCATGAACTGATAAATTCTAAATTAAGATGTAAGCTACCCACATTATAGCTGGTGTCATGGTTTCATGGAATGTGCCAACATGAAAGGAGTTACTTTTAACTTTAACATTATCATCGTATTCACAATGCCTGTGTGAAAATGTATAATATGGTAGTCAGAGGCATGATCACAACAAAAATAATAATAAGTCGTATTTACAGCCTTTTGTAAAACAACTCATTAAACATTATACAATAGCAATATACAGTATATATTTTCAGACTTTAATGTCAAGAAGTCATCAAGGTGAATGCCATGATTTCCACTACATTTTGCCATTTTGGCAATACTCTTGTCAATGAAATAATTTAATCAATTGTGGTGCCAAGGTGTCATGAACCGAAGACACACGCCACACAGTTAATACACACGTTGGCCTCAGCAGATATATCAGAGACTTCGAAATTTAGGCCACTATCAGATGATCCCTTCCCACTGAGTTTTTATTCCTAGCCCGCCTACAGAGTGACAATGGTCTGGGTTTCTCAGGGCGAGTGAAATTGTCAAACATTTGATATGATGGAATAATAATGGCTTCATCCCTACGATAAGTGAGAAATGCAATGCTGGAATAAAGGTGAAAGGGGTGCTGCGTCTGGCAGCAAATTGAGGAATGTAGGTCCTTGAGTATTGTAATAATGGTATGTGAAGGCCTCCAGTTAAATATGAATGGACTACCTAGATCAAGGCAGGAGCTGGTATGGGTGGGGGAGCGAAAGGGACGTAAGGGCTTCGCCAGAGGCAACTGCTCTCATTTGGTCATGGGCCGTGAACGTGGTCGTCCCTGTGAGTGTGCAGTGCTGGGCTCGTGCAATGATCTGTCCGAGAGAGAGGTTTTTTGTTAAAGAACTACAGCAAGACAATCACAGTGGAAGGCATAAGCCAACAGTTCAGAGAGATAAATGTTGGACCCAACAAAGTCTACCTTACGGCAATCATCCTAGGAACCACGGGTTTTGTTTTGCCCAAAGAAACTCACAAAAGCTACACATTGTCTAGACTCGTGCATGTGCGTAAGAACATGTTTAAGGCCATGTGATTTTGATGAGAATATCACAAGTGCTAAGTACCTCACTTAGCGCTCCTAACAGCGTTATTTCTTTCGTATGAGCAACATACGAGGGCTTCATTCAGGTATTGGTAATAGCGCTAATAATTATGCCAAACATTATTTAATAAATAAATAATTGGTTATGACATCAGTTATATACCGTACACATGAGTGAATTCTACTGTACTCTTCCTCCAAGGCAGTAGTGGGAGACGAGGTTGTAGGAGCTGCTGCGCTCCCAATCATGGTCATTCTCAGAGAAGAGCTCCAGGACCTCTGTTATATTAGTGATGCCTTCAGTCAAAATTTCTGTGGTGAGGTTTCTTTTAGATGGAGCCCCAGACTATACCCTGGCCATGTGAGTACTGTAATAACATTGAGAAAAAAACATCGATTTTAAATATAATCGAATTGCGGGAGGTGGGGTCTAGTTGGCTTCGAGTGTACGTTGCTCTTATTGGCTGAGCCAATTATGGGGGTGGGTGCGTTTCCTCGGCCACCACTGCTGCATGTTCCGATAATTTAAAAAAATATATATTTTCCAGGGCAATGAGTGCTATAACGAATCAACGTTATCCAGGGTCGTACTATATGAGGTCTGCCCGTATTGTGCATTTGCGGTGTGCCTATGTGTGAGAGCTCATGCGTGTGTGGTAACACGAAAAACACTTTTGCAAGAATGCCGATGCTCCGATCCTGGCGAGAATGCGGGCGCAGCTGGCTGGGAGTATGTCAGAACAGGGCCATGCCATGACAGCCCCCACGCTCGAGGCATACTCCCTGATGCCGAAGCATCAGTGATGAGTACCACGGGGGGTGAGAGGGTGGGCCCTGACACAATCAACTCATGCCTTTCTTCAATCCAATTAATGGTGTAATATCGTCTCATCTCCAGCCATGTAGATCATCTTTCCTATTCCATACAACTTTAAGTATTCCATGCAGTACGACTTGTATTCTCCTATTGAACTATTCATATTTATTTTATGATACTGTATATATAGGACATTTTTTTTTACACCTGTAGCGGCATTGTTACGCGCAACATGTGTACTTACCTGCGTAGCAGTATTGTATGGGTCACGTACACTCAACTCTAGTGGTGGCCTCAGTCTGTAGGGGGCGCACAACAGCCAAGGGGGCTGTTGAGTGACAGGTGTACGACCCACGACTACAACCACCGTTGACCAGGGGTGAGGGGGCCAGAGCCCACTAAGGGAGGGGACTGGGGGGTCCAACGGTCGGACCCAGACCCTCTCCAGAGAGGGCGGTTGGGAGAGAGGAGTATAAAAAGGGCAGCTCTCCCAGCGTGAGTCAGTCCGCACTCACCTCAAGACCCGAAGACATCTAGATAGCGCCCTGGGACTTCCGACCTTCGGCCCTTGTCAGGGCCAGGTCCGAATGACCCAGTGGCGGCACCCGTTACCCTGGCAAGGTCGCGTGAGCATAGCCTCCCCTAGGTCCCTTAGCGGAGGAATTCCCGATAGCAGAGTATAGTGTGAGGGCACACTAGGTGTGAGGACGTATCCTCTCGGCTATCGGGTGGGAGAGGCCGTTACCTCTGTGTTAGGGACGCTCTTTGTCGTTAGAGTGAATAAACGTTGTTGCCTACAAAGAGAAGTCTCTGCCTACTTTGGCAACACTATACATCCATTGCAAGACATGGTCCAACAACTGGCAGTATGCATCCTTTTATGTTATGCTGTACATGAACAATATACAACTAATATATATCACTAATACCTAAATGAGGGCCTCCACACATTCTGCGGGTTAAGGAGATTATATGATCGTATTTCTGGTGAGTCCAGGTTTGTAAAGGTGGGGAACATTGCTGTTGGAGCATTTAAGTACACGAAAACAATACATTTTTCTGCATAGTCCTCTGCTGCCAACAAAGTACAATGATGCATGGTCAAACCCGCATGACAGACATGGCATAGGGAGGCCTTCAATTAATGAATCCAGCTATGGAATGTTACCAACAAGGGCCAATACATACATGACTGTATTTAGTTGCGCAAACGAAGGCTGTTTGTATGGCTGTGGAGCTAGTGTAGCCTGGAAAATAGATTCCAGGGAAGGTGATGAGACAGTGTCAGGCCAACACATCTCAAAATGCTGCAGTAGCGATGTGAAGGAAAGAAAAAGCTCCACTTTGGCCAGATGTTCTCCCAAACATATACGGGGGCCAGCGGAGAATGGTAGGAATGCGTCTGGTTTGACAAACTGACCATTTATATCTAGGAAGTTTTCAGGATTGAATTTGTGTGATGTTTTCCACTGGCTTTCATCATTGAGAACAGACATCAAGTTTACCATGACCAGTGTGTTCTTTGGAATCAAGTATTCCTGGAACACTACATCATTTTGACTGAATATAGATATATTTCCTACGAGGGGAAGTGCCCTCGGACCCGGGGGAAAGCCCACTGGGCGGATGGATGACTTCACCTCACAGAGAACAGCCCACACAGCCAGGAACACCAGGATAAAAATCGCCAGGCAGACCAGGATATGCCTAACTAAGGAGAAGCCCCATTCCACGACTGTATCAACTACTTGCCCCATGTTACACAGTGGGCAATAGAGTGAAGATATTCCACAAGTGTTTGACGATGATAAAAGTGGCCTGCGCACAGTAAAAAAAACACGTGAAAAATATGATTATTTCCTCACCTGAATATTGATTTTGTAACATTTTTCGTTGTATGGAATAGCTTACCTGTATGTATGTTGAACTTCTTTCACACCGTACGTAGTCAACTATGCTGCTCGGTGTTTCCAGATTTGAGAAGAGTATAATCTGAAAATGAAGAATGGTTCGAAAGTGCAGTTTAATCTATCAGTGCAGAACTGTCAGTGTCGCCCCATCATCTGTGTGGGTTTTATCTAAGTATTCTGCACACACACCAAACATTTAATAATGGCATTAGAAAAACGTGTTTATACAGGACCCCACTCAAAAGTCTTCCGACTCGTCGAGATTCACCACTTCATCGGACACTACTCTAAAGCACACACCATTAACAAAATTTGCAAGGCACTTATTACCGATGGTAAATATATATAAACATACATACACTATAAGTAAATGTTTAACTTTCTCGTTGCACGGTATTTTTTTTATAAAAAAAATTACCATGTCTTGACCAATACCCAATGGCAATTAAATGAGCTGCCGGGTGGTGGCAGCACACCCCTGTAATCCAGCACTTTCGGGGAGGGTTGATGGATCAAACAAATGTGAAATTCTCTTCCCGTCGGCGTCGAGGTTATAACTCTGATTTTCAAAGAGAAAAACAAGTGTCATGTGTGACCCCTTTAAGCGCTGTTGCTACGTTCATTGCATGTTTTTATTTATCCTCGATATCGTTGGGGTTGGGCGATTAAACTCTAATCTTGAAACCTGCAGCAGTGAGACTTTACTCTGGGGACGCCCGCAGTTATATGAACCACTCACAATTCAAAAATGTATTCCGTTTGTGACTGTGATCATCACGGTTCACGCAGCTGATTTCTCCACACCTCCTGCAAGCTCACATTCACATAGTGAAAGAGACCACCCCCTCCAACCGCATTGTACATGGTACAGCCCATGGTTAACGATTGAGTGTGTGGTGGGGCTGTTCATGTCGGCGTATGTGCTAATGTACTGTTTTATATACAGCACTGGATGAATTGCTGTGTGTGGGGAGCTGTGGCAAATTGGTCCGCGCACTGTGCTACGAACCTTTGCGACCAGGTTCGTGGTACAGTGAATTTCGGCCAACGCTGACATGAGTGGCGAGTGATAATCTGAACCAGTTCTGTGCGCCCCATATGTCAACTCAGCCTTAAACGTGCACTGTTCCTGGTGCAGTGTGCAAACATTAGCAGTGCGGAGGCAAAGACGGCTGGGTGTGGTGCTGAACAGACAACCGTTTATGTGCCGTATCCGCCTCCATAGGTGCTTGCTCTCAGCACTTGCCCCAACAGTCTTTGTAGGCTACACATGTGACTTTTGCCTTTGTATATATGATGACATTTAGCTGGAGGCTCTCTCAGTAACTCGGCAAAACGGCTGTCCCCTGTGGCTCTTTGTCATTGATGTTGAGCCCTGATTGCTTCAATTTGGGCTGCACTCCGCGGTGTTGCTCTCTCCTCTCCCTTGTTTCCCTGCCCTCACCACCCAAGCATCCCACCTGAATTCTCTCCTAATATTTGGGTTATGAACTTTAAGTCTTTAAAAAACTCAGGACACAGATTAGGAATATTACAGTAATACCCCGATTTACATTCCCCCCCCTTTTAAGTCGTTTCGCAAATACGTCGTCACTTTATTAAATTAAATATGGGTCGCCTCATCCTTCACCTCCACCTCCCCTGTAAATTGCTTTGATTTACGTCGTTTCGATATTCGTCTCACATTTCAGGAACACATCCCCGACATAAACCGGGATATTACGTTTCACAACAACGAAATACGGCTGATGTACATTTTAAATGCATTGTCCTGAGTGGTGTATTCAATTAACAGAAACCAGACATTTAATGTCCGACAACATAAATATTTCCCAGGACAACTACCCCATAAATAAATAATGTTCTGGTATTGTGTGGGGACCCTTTTATAAAATGTAAGGTGATTGGTGTACAGACAATCTTACAATTGGCACTTCATGCAGCATGAGCTTGTTGACTATATAGTCGAGTCCTCTTTAATTACTCAATTGGGATTCTTCCCTGGGCTGCATGGTTCGTTATGTTTTGCAAGGTTATACGTAGGTTGTTGGCGTGTATTCTTTGCAATAGTCAAGAGGCTCTGGATGATACTTGGTATGTTCATACCTTCAATGATGGAACTTTAATTAGAAAATATACTTAGGGGGAGAGTTCCCCATGACAATTGTATTATTTTTCGATTTAAAGCTTTCGTGACTGCAAGGATTCATCTTCTTTGGTTCTTTCGGTAAAGTCACGTAGAATGAGAATAAAACTGTCCTCCAGTCTCGTCCCTTCACCTGATGAAGGCCGCTTGTGTTGTGGCCGAAACGTCGTGAGACTATTATTGTGTTATTTTATTTTATCAATTTATTATTTTAATCTCATTCTACGTGACTTTACTGAAAGAACCAAAGAAGATGAATTGTATTATTAATTAAAACTGTAGGTGCAATGTCCACACCGGTCCTCCTGGTCACTGTGTGCTGGTATATGACGGTGTATGTCTCAAAATAAAATTGTATTCTTCATTTGTATGTAAAACAAAACCACGAACATGTCACCCAAAAGTGTGCCCCTTGGTCAACAGTAATGCATATCCATGGTAGTGTAGCGTTCACTGCTCATGCCTGAGGATATTCACATGGGAGTCTCTGGCTTGTTATTGTGAGCTATACCATGTGTATCATAGTGGAGAGATGTGGGTTGTGGGGCTCCATTCTTTGTCCCTGCCTCCCATTCCCTGACACTGAGCGACCCTTATTGATTTAGCTGCCAGTGCTGTAAGAAAAGAAACCGGGCTTGCGGTGAAAAGACACCAGTCTGCACGGAAAGACCGCTGCTGTAGACTTCCCACACTTTACAGATGATGTTCAACCAGAACCGGTCACAATGCACATGTACATTGCAGACCTTTTTTTCAATACACTGCGCTATTTAAATTACAATAAGATATAAGGGACTCCCTACGCTATGGCTCATGTTGGGGGTTATTTGTAGCGTACTTCATACTGGTTAGTGCACATTCAAGGTGGGCAGCATTGACATGGGAACACAGACGTACAGTACAACAATTGATGTTCCAGCACCGCTCTCTGCTGCCCACAATGTAGCCCGACAGCAGGCTATTAACACCAGTTGAATCCATATGGTGGTTGGTACGTGCCATCAATTTGAGGGGGTCGGGCGCATTCGATGGTGAATCTGTCCAGCGGCGTAAAAGCACTCATGAGTCCGTGTAGCACCAGACAACTCAATCAGGTCACCTTCAATTTATCTGCAGGACTTGGCTGCAAGTGTCACCTCCGTTTGCTCTTAATGCCTACACATGTTGTAAATAAAACGTATACATTACGTTAGACATGTTTTATAATTGCCTGTGGATCTCGGCGTGTTATTTAATCTGCCCTTTTTAACACGTAGGCTTTCGCGACCATTACTAGTGACAAATTGGCATGTTCTGTTTACGTGACAACCCTTACTAGTTGGCTGTGTTGGGTGGTGGTGGGTTTTAACGACACATTTATATATTTATGCGATCTAACCACAAAACCTCTATTATGGAAAATCTGGCCTTCAATGCATAAGTGTTTGGATGCCACTGGTACTGTATATGTTATTAGCGATTGCGAAGGTTGTAAACTCAGCAAACAGCAACACTTATACTTTGCAGTCGAAAGCCATTGATGAAAACACGTTTATTTTAATGCATTGCTTTAAAAAAAATGCGATCATGGATTTTAAAATACCGTTTAGAGACCTCCCTTTAGTTTGGAGGCCCTTTTGCAAGCAGTAGCGTCAGAAAGTCGATGCACAGCCGTACCTTTTAATGTCGCCCACGGGTGGCAGCATCAGCAGCAGCACTAAGAGAACAAAAATGCGAAGATTAATGATTTAGTTAGCGTGACGAAGAGCACGGCCGCGCACGCTGAATCCATTGCCTCGCCCAAAACTAAGCGATACAAGTTTCGTGTATCAGTATCAGCCCGCCGGTCCCTGTACTGTACCAATTTAACACCCACGTTAACAAACAATCGGGCATTTCACTGTTGGGCACTACAACGAACGTGACTTGACTTTACAATATACAGATGTATGCAACAAATTCCTTGTAGAATTAGAAGTTACCTACACGGCATCTTAAGTTTGAAAATGTACTCTTTGAGGGGAGGGGATGCTGATAGGGATGCTATTGGCAATCACACAAATGTCAATGCTCAGAGACCTAAAATGCATTTGAATCGGTAATGCAGCAAGCAATGAGTAAGAAAAACTGGCCGAATTTGTGAGTCTTTAGAGGTCAGTGAGAGTGTTGATCACATCATTGCCATCCCATTTGTGGTGCCACTTTTTCATTGAGTAAAACTATAAGCAGCCCAAGGCAATTTTCCACTAATGTATCAGCAACATGTGCTGCATGCACATGGAAAAAAGCATTGGTCACTAGGATTTTATAGGAATTCGGTAAACATACACACCATAGAGAAACAGTTATCGTGTGCTAAAATTAGGAGGGTTAATTACCACTTGAAGGACCACAGTGCTTGCAGGAGCCTGGAAATTATGGGTAGATATTAGTGGGTGGAGGGAGGCAGCGGTGCAGGACCTGAGGTTTAAATATCACTCGGCACTGATGTTAGCCGTGGCTCGGACCGAAACCGGAGATCGAGCACGACTTCCTGTTCTCGGCGCCTGTAATTAATTAGCACCGCCACTGACCCCAACTGCACCCACCCATTGCAGTGCCACCACGAGGTACCCTCTCCCCATACGCAACAAGCGGACACTGCACAGGAGCGCTGGTAAACAAACAGCCGCGGGCCACCGTGCGCCCCCGACCGCCAAGGGACGCACACAGTATTTTTCGAAGTAAACACTTGCTCGTTTTTGCGAATGGGTCTAAATTTAAATTGCTCGTTTTAGCGACTTATCGTAGAAAGAACGCTCGTAAAGCAAGACACGCCAGTATAGTATAGTAATTTTGTCAGTGGAATTATGAATGAGGACCTCACCATGCCGTGTGGGGGTGTGGAATTTTTTTTACCATACATTATCATGCTGGCCAGTGCCGATTGGTGAAAGCGGGGAGCATAGAAATTGTAAATTGGTCAGAACTGCGATGTCAGCTGCCCGCAACGTCGACCCACAGTAGCATGTAAAGCCTGTTTTATTCATGGTGGTCGTACATTCCAGCACTATCCAGGCTCAACCCATCTTAGCTTCGAAGTACTGACAGGGTGCATTCCAGGTGATTTGATGATTTGATCCATACATCACAAACAATGAAACAGACACAGAAACATGAAGACAAGACTCATTCCTAGGTACACGGTGACAAGGATAAACGAGTAAAGACAAGTGAGATGCAGTGAGACACAGGGGCTACTGAGAGGGAAACAGAAACAGATCCAGCATTCCATCCCCCCCCCCATAAAAAGTCAGGGTTCCGAATGAACCCCAACCTACTAATTATTGCACAACCTTGCTTTAATCACATTACAATGTCCCCACGTCTACATAGAGAGATCAGCATGGCTCGTGCAGCTTAAAACCTCCGCATTTCACGAATGCCTCTTACCTCTGCGAGATCCAGCAGCTTCTGCAAACTCCACGCCCATAAGCTGCGAATTGACATGGGAATGTGGAACAAGCCACTACCCGGAGCAGCATGGTACAGTCCATGTTCAACAATCAACCCCAGTGTTTTGTCATTGCGCAATCTTCTCATTTGTCCCTCTACATAAAACATATGAAACTGACAAACTTGGAGTGATTTCTACGTGTGAATGTACAAACTGCACGGGAGTCACCTTACAGCACCTACAACAGGCCTCATTACGTTACCACGTGGTGTGTTTCTCAGTCAAGGTAAACAAATAAATATGCAGCCCTGGAATTGCTTGCAGAATGCCCTTAACTAGAGGGAGCTTTAAAGTGTGTATGATCAACTCTTCCATGCTGATCACACAGATTGTAAACGGTAGGTGTAATCACGTTTATCCCACCACAAAAAAACTTGCTTATCAACAAATTGTGTTGCACCCATATATATGGATGGGTAGATACAAGGAGGTTAGTTGAAGAAACTTACTTCACTGTTACTAGTGCTTCACTGGGAGATAGAAACGAGCCACTAGCGCTGGATTGCAAGCCAAGTGTGTTAACCATTACACCACAAAGGAGATAACATACAAAAACACAACACATGGTTGTGAATTTGTTATTAAGCAAATGGCTTATCACCGTTGGTAACAATGTTACCAGTATTGAAAGACAAGGGGTAGTCTATATACAGCGAAACTCAATATTTGGGGAAAATTTATATAAAAAAACTGGCATCTGAGAATAATTACATATCTCCCAAGCAGTCCATCACGAGTCCCAAGGGCACATGCTCCAAGCCAGCAGTGAGCTTCAGCTGCACGATTTTTCTTCCTGTAGTGTGCAATATTGTACACGGATACTATCCCTCTTATAACGCCGTTTTGCCAGGGCGATGAGATGTTAACTACCTCGCCTGGTATACAGGAGATCGTGGGATCCATCCCGACCCTTTATATTCGGAGTTTCCATGTTCTCCCCGTGGTCACGTGGATTTTCTCCGGGTCCGCCGGTTTTTCCCTCCACATTTACAAACATGCGTGTCGGATATTTTATGGTTGCTATATCATCATAAGACACTTCGTTGAGCTGACATGTGATAGCCAGGTTGCTTCTGAATAATAGCTATATCTCAGTGGACCTTACCTGGTTAAATAAAACAGTTTTCATTATCAATCGTGACTTACATCAATTATTTCTGCCTTAATTTACACGCCGTTACATTTTAACAAAGCGCACACAACGCACCTATAGGGAAGCCATATACAGTATTTTATTTCAAATCATAGCTGCATTCGGCACCTACACAGGATTATCTCGAAGATGATCGCAGTGACTTGTTTAACATAGTATGAAAGTCAATTCATTTGTGAAAGAAAAAATTCCATGCAGACCGGATGTGTTAGAAGAAATGAGCAAACCCACCAGTCGATGGACTTAACATTTGAAGCAATTGGCGGGACCCCAGGGTCCCATCACTGCCCCGGGGTGGGAAAAACCGCGTAGCGACACGAGTCTTGCCTTCGCGACAACAAAACTAGTGGTCAATCGATTGGCCTCGTCGAGAGCTACTCGGGGCATTAAGTTTCGTAAAAAGTTGACAAATTACATAAACACGTAAAATTCACTGCCTGGGGGGGCGGGCCCGCCTTGGCAAAGAAGCTGAGGATCGACGGCTGACCGGAGGGCGTCGGACGCCCCCCCCGGGGCTTGCGTTTGGCCGGTGGGGTGGCGCCCATCGTCTTGATCGCCGCCTGCTGCTGCTGGCGCTTGTTGGCGCTTGTTGGCGAGAGTCTGGGCGGGCGGCGCGTTGCTGTCGGGGTCACGTAGTGGGCGGAACTGAAAAATTATTATTATTGACCTGATTTTTGCGGGACCCCGGGGTCCCGCCAAATGATTAATTTGTGTAACCATGTGTAAAGACAGTGCGTGGCCCAGTGGGCTTGGGGGATGGTCGTGGTGACGGGAGAAGGAAGGGTCACACGAGGTGACTGTGCTAAGCAACCGAACAAGGCTGGGAGCGGTCGAGAGGAGGGGCGTGTTCGGGGGCGGGGCTTGGCCACGAGGATAGGGATATACGGAAAAGGCGGAGAGGGATCCGGATCGTCGTTTCGGGATCCGGATCGTCGTTTCGGGGATCGTCATCGTCGTCATCGACATCGTTGTCGTCGTCATCCTCTGCATCAATACCGGCGCGGACGACTACTCCGACGTCTTGCTATATAGTTGACCAGCTATATAGGAACGTCATGTAGCAGCTACGTCTCATCTGTTATGTCCGTCGGTGATACTGAATAAATACAGCTGTTGGACGTCTCAGGGTGCTACATTACACATGTATAATGCTGGGTGGACAGAGGCGGGGGGTTTAATAAACCTGCCCCAATACTGCCACTGCTGCGCAGGGAGATCGACGAATTGAACCATTGTCGTCTGGATTGTAAGTCCAGTGTGCTAACCATTACACAATGCTTTAGTCACATAACCTTGAATAAATGATGTTGCCTCGCTAGACCACCTTTGTCCCGTGATTTATCTTAATTAGAACAAAGACATTTCTGAAACTGCACTGTATTCAATTCTACGGTGGCTACACCTTTAAAGCTCAAACAATATTAGTATTAATGATTTTGGGACTAAAACCCTCCACTAGGCGGTTTGCACCAGGGACCTCTTGGAAAGCCTGTCCTGTGAGTGCAACCAAGATTAAAACACTCGCACATTACACATGCGCAATATTACCATGTAATGGTTTGTTGGGTAATAAATGAAAAAAAAATACTCAGATTGTTCACTACTATGATGTAAAAATGATAATTTATATTTTATTTCAGAGTACAAGACAATGAAAAATACATTTTAACAAAATTATGGGATTTAATTATAAGACAGTTGTCCCAAGGTTAATGCTTTTAATCCGTTCCATAAAAACTACTGTTAACCGAATTAACTGTTAATTGAATATGGAAAATACATATTAAACGCACCAATTTGTTCCAAGACGATTGGAAGTTGATATTAATAATTTCTTGCTTTTTTAAAGGATTACTTTCCTTCACTTTTCGTTTTGCGAATTAACTTTAGGGGTCATTGCAATCGCTATTAATTCACTTATAAGTTGAGAAAACAAGCAAAAATCACTGGGTGTGCAAGGAAGCTGTTTCCACCGCCATAACAGAAAACAATGTAAATAAAGACAGTCGAGATCTAAACGCTCATAAATGGGCATCGTTAATTGGCTAAGGCATTCTCAGCCCACTTACGAGCGCTCGGATTGGCTGGAATTGGCACCCGCGAGCATAACGTAAATAGACCGTTAAGGAAAATGTTTACATTAGTCAAAACCTATGGGAGGCGAAATATTAACCAAAAAAACGTTAACTAATGTCATTGTTAACCGAGGAACTACTCTATGAACATCTGTAAAACAGAGCGTACATATGCTTTATGTAGTAGACGTTTTAATGTCCAAAAATATATTATACTGCTTTATATTTGATTGAATATCATTATTAATCACAATGAATTGAACTTTGGATTGGATGTTTCTGCAAACTGGGCATTGCATTTTCAGCTTTGGAACTTGGCCTTGTGGCAATTTCGGAGATTTGCAACAAGATCTGTACAGATCCAAGTCATAAGAAGGCGTTGCATTTTTCACAACATTACATGTGTAGTGTGGTTAAATACATGGCGCACACTGTAGTCCGAGGGCAACAGAGGACAAACACGTGCGCGTGGGCAACAGGTTGCAATAGCAAACCGCCACCTAATTTGAAATGAAAGCTGGTGCAGACCAGGTCACGCTGACACCGGAGGTGTTGCCAGGGAGATGTGCGATAAGGGGTGATTAATGGCCTGACGGGTGCCAGCCTGTCTGGCCCTAAAGAGACACAAGGGAGGAGCCAGTTAATTGGGAAGGGGATATGAAGACGGGCGTGAGAGCGGAGAGATCGTATTGCTGGGGACCAAAGGAGAAGACATCTCGCCGCTGCCGCTCAAGCCAGGAATGGACCACAACCCTCACGAGTCACCGGGCAGGTGATAGTTGATCCCCCTGCCCGCGACGGACGAGTGAGTGGGTCTGGGGTAGCGTAGGCGAGGACAGCGGTGGAACGGGGGTGCCGTGTGAGAAGCTGTGTGCAAGTCTCTGTGTGAGCGTCGCTGTGTGCAAGCCTCTGTGTGAGCGCCGGTGTGTGCATGCCTCTGTGTGAGGGCTGCTGTGTGCGGAGCCTTGAGTGCGGAGCTGCTGAGAACGAGAGCTGCCGTATGCAGGTTAGCGAGGTGTAACGTAGATAGGGGAATTTGGTTAACAGAAGTGACCATATAGACAGAGAAAGGAGTGCCTACAACTGGTACAAGAATAGGTTAACAAAGTGTAAGCAGGTGACCTGTTACCACGTGTCCGTCTGAGTGATTCTACAAGACACTACACATGTAAAGACTGCGAAAGGACTTAGTTTTGTCTTACACTATGGTGAGTTGCGCATGCACAACCCTAATTTATATGGGTGTGGAGATAGATTGATAGTGAATGTGGAATCTAAGGTCGGATGAAAGACATAGTTGTGCCAGTAAAACTCAATGCTGCAAGAGAGACGTGAAGAATAGCTCCATCTTGGCTAAACCTTCCCCCAAACAGACATGGGGATGAGCAGAGAATGGCAGAAAAGCATCCGGCTTGATGAACTTGCCTTCCTTGTCAAGGAAGTGATGGGGATTGAACTCGTGTGGAATTTCCCAGTGGTTTGCATCATATAGAACAGACATCACGTGTATATGACCGGACTCACCCGATGAATGAAAGGAACCCCGGGGCCGAGTGTGAGGTGCGCTGCAACTCGCCTTAGGGGGTATGGAGTCGTAGGAAGGTGGACGTCCCAAGGGCCGCCATCGAGGAACCCGGCAGCCAGACTGGACATGCCCCAGCAGGCCGCGGTTGTAGCAAGTGACCCATCCGTCGCTGGAACGGGATGAAGCAGACCTCGCCCACTGCTGGTCATCCCGCCGCTGATCACCGTCACCCCGTCGATCGGTGCCTGCTGATGCTGCGAGCACGCGGACTCAGCCTCTCCGTCCGTTCAAAC